TAGGAATGGGCTGTGCACCTTAGATTTTTGTTCATCTGTAACTAGAGATGTTTACCTTTTTGGAGGTCACATTCCATGGTTGTGAAATTCAAAAAAAGAGGGAGCACTGTTGACTGCTAGATCTGGCATCCCTTGGCAATCCGATCTGTGGTCAAGGCCGTGTGTAAGGAGAGGGCTCACTGAGCCTTAAAGCTTGAAGTGCCTCGTGAATTTCAGGATAAAGTAACTGTGTGGTATAGCATAGATCCCTGATCTTAGAGCTGAGTACTAGTTAATTACTAATTAATTTCTTCATATGTTCACTATATGCAAGACATATTTTGTGGCTTTATACAAGGCATTATCTTCTCTGACTAGGCTGTCTCATCTTTAAAATTAAAAAAAAAATCCAGTATTATATCTTCAAAGGAAAGTCCTTGGGGATTATTAAACAATACATAAAAGTATTTGTCACAAGTGATATTGGGAATTATAAAATATTTCCAGATTTGAAATGGTTTTATGAATTTATTGTTTTCATACTGCCACAAAAGGCTCACTTTATTATCTGCAGGATCATCAGGAAGCAATTTGCATAGATTTCTACTATTAAGAAATATGAACATTTCTCACCAAAAACTATGCTTTTCTCCTCTCTTCTTATTTTTAATTTTTCTTTTGTGTGTTCGTTGCAGAAACTTCTTTTGGATCTAGAACAAAAAGTCGCAGTCCAGTAAGTTCTACTGATTAACTTGAAAACTGGAAAAGGGAAACTTTCAATATGTTTATATTATAAATTTTAGCAGCAAATTTTATCAAATAAAAGGTACAACAGAATGATCCTTTGAAAAGTAAAGATAGAAACAAAATAAAAACTAACACACTCCCATGTTATTATTAAGGTCAAGAAATAGAATCTTGTCAGCCATATAAAACCATTTGGCATTAGAGACAAGGTAAAAATATCTCATTATTCAAAAATTCCATTAATAGACATAAGCTTTATTATACATGAATATCTAATATCCATTAAAGGTTGTTCAATGTAGAATTGTTCATCTTTCTTTCTTTTTTTTTTTTTTTTGAGACAGAGTCTCACTTTGTTGCCCAGGCTAGAGTGAGTGCCGTGGCGTTAGCCTAACTCACAACAACCTCAAACTCCTAGGCTCAAACAATCCTACTGCCTCAGCCTCCTGAGTAGCTGGGACTACAGGCATGTGCCACCATGCCCAGCTAATTTTTTCTATATGTATTATTTCTATTTATAGTAGAGACGGGGTCTCGCTCTTGCTCAGGCTGGTTTCGAACTCCTGACCTTGAGCAATCTGCCCACCTCGGGCTCACAGAGTGCTAGGATTACAGGCGTGAGCCACAATTGTTCATCTTAGCAAAGCAAGAGGATTAAAAACAACAAACCTAAATATACATTTAAAGGGGGATAAAATAATAATTTTAATATAGTCACATAGTGGAATATTACATAGAGGTGAAGAAAATGAACTATAGTTCTAAACATCTGAATAGATAAAGGTCACAAAATTTAAAAATTATATCATGTAATATTGCACACAGTATTGTTTATCTATGTAAATTGTTGGCCAATACTGCGAACACTGCCAACACTAAAACAATTGTATATAGCTATATTTATATATAGTTATACACATATATGCAAACACATATAATGAATACTTGCATATGTAATGAAAGTATTGAGAAAGACAAGGAATGAGTAAATAAATAATTCAATTTTATGATTTCTTGTGGTATAAAATCACAGGAGAGGTTTGGCCTGAGTATAAGAAGTGGGGAAAGGGTGGCTAAATTATAAAAATAACTTCAGTCATTTGTATGGCTTTAAAAAAATTATATTGTGTATGTAAAAAGATATAATAATATTTCATGTTTAAGTGGATCATGGGTACTTCAATGTTTATTTTTAAACCTCAATATAGAATATATTTATTTCATTTTGATGTATAATATGGCATTATGTATATAGAACAAAAAACATTTTATTCAAAAAGTTCATTATCTAATAAATTCTATGTATTTTCTTTATGTTTAACAGCCAGACTGTAAACTATATGCAAACACAATGAATCGTTGCACGAGAGAAATGGATCCAATCTGTGCAAAGAATGGCGTCACTTACACCAATAAATGTCAATTCTGCAATGAAAAATTGTAAGCACACAAGATTAAATATCTGATCTTCTAAAGTAATGAAGGCACCACAACAAAATGATAGAAAAGCCCATGTTTCTCATGACCCAAGCACAATCTATGCAGAAAATAACCATATGAGCTCTACAAAAGTCACAGGAACTCATTTATACCTTTTTCTGAAGTTCTCATTTTTAAAAGTAGCTTTGTGTTTGACTTCTTTATAATCCTGCTAGATATTCTGCAAATGTATAAATCAATCAATTTAACTTAACTTAATTATGATCCATTACTAATGGAAGACTAGTGACCAAAATAATGCAATCTAAATCCCAGATGCTGAATGATAATCTCCATGAGGTAGTTCCAACTACAGGAGTGTAATTGAGCAAGAAATCTGACTAACTACAGAACTCTGAAATCTATCACAATCAGCCCATTAATGCTAGAGAGAAACCCCTTTTATGATCCACTGTGTTTCCTGAACTCCATGACCACCTCGAACGCTTCCTTAAAGTACAGGGCAGTCTAGAACACTTTCACCCAATCTCCCATCCTGTCACCTTCATTCTGAAGGAGTTCACAGTGTAAAGGTTCAGCTAGCCTTCCCGCTTCCCTCCATGTTTGCTCTCACAGGGATTTCCTATCATTAAATCTTTTCACATTTAATCCCAAAGTTGGTTTTTGCTTCTGGAGAAGAACCACTAAAACAATTTCTAATCCACTCCTGTCTCAGGTCTAGGCAGCTTCCAAGACTGAGTCAGGACTAGACATATAGAAAAAGTCAAATAGCCCCAGATGGCGAGAGAACTTATATAGGGTTGGCAAACAGGTGGGGCCCAGCTGCTTGGATAAATGGAGCACAGATTCTCCAAATTGTCCTATGTGCAAATCCTCCTCATTGAGAAGTATTTTACGCAATGCTTGGGAAATTAAAAATGTTCTGTTCATAATTTTTTCTTCTTTCTCTGTTTTTCTTTATTTACAGGCAAAATAAAGGAATTGAATTTTGTCATTATGGTAGATGCTGACTTTTTAACCTTACGTTTTACAAGTTCTTATGGCTTTTTTTGTAATCCTATTTTATGGTGGATTCTACAACCAAAGACACAACTAGTGTCTTTGCAATTAGGGCCTTAAATTCCTAGATGACCAAGTAAATCCTTCTATGGCACAGGAGATGGAATATAAGATGTTGAAGATTCTTTCTGATGCTAAGAACCTAGTATTAAATAATTTTTTTATTCTCTGTGTTCAATCACTCAATGACAATTTGAAAAACCATTATCTTGATTGTATATTTGATAATATAAAATTTGATGCAATTTACAATTATAAATATTTCACTCAATGAACTGTTAAATAATGCTATCTTTATCAAAATGTCTTTTCTTTCTTTGATTTGGTAGTGGATTAATATACATGAACAGTTTTGCTAACTATAATTAAGGAGACATTTTCAAAGATGACTAAATAATCCTGGCACTCTGGAAGGCCGAGGCAGGAGGGTCACTTGAATTCAGGAGTTAGACAACAGCCTGAGCAAGAGACCCTGTATCTACTAAAAAGAGAAAAATTAGCTGGGTATGGTGGCACATGCGTGTAGTCCCAGCTACTCGGGAGGCTGAGACAGAAGGATCACTTGAGCCCAGGAGTTTGAGGTTGCTGTGAGCTAGGCTGATGCCACGGCACTCTAGGTTGGGCAACAGAGTGAGACTCTGTCTCAAAAAAAAAAAGAAAGAAAGAAAAAAACCCTGAAGCCAGAAACATTCGGTTAATCATCTGGTAGCTATCTGGTAGCAGTAGAAATATTGCCCTTTTTTTTCCCTAAGTGTGTACTTGTATCTTTTTTTCAAAACTAAACAATACATAGTTGAAAGTATATAGATTGTAAATAGGGCTGGCAAGGTGGCTCACGCCTGTAATCCTAGCACTCTGGGAGGCCAAGGCGGGCAGATTACTTGAGGTCAGGAGTTCAAAACCAGCCTGAGCAAGAGCAAGACCCCATCTCTACTGTAAACAGAAAGAAATTAACTGGCCAACTAATATATATACAAAAAATCAGCCGGGCATGGTGGTGCATGCCTGTAGTCCCAGCTACTTGGGAGGCTGAGGCAGGAGGATTGCTTGAGCCCAGGAGTTTGAGGTTGCTGTGAGCTAGGCTGATGCCAGGGCACTCACTCTAGCCTGGGCAACAAAGTGAGACTCTGTGTGGCCAGGAGGTGACCCAGATAGCAGAAAGCATCCCACCTTTGGCCTTGGAAAACTTGTATCCCAGCCTGGTCCTTGGCATGGTTTTAAACCAATCCCCTATTCCTTCTGAGCCTCAGTTTACCTATCTATAAGATGAGGGCATAGCAGTTCATGTTACATCTAATATTAGGAGGAAGATATTTTTATTTCTAAATTAGAATAACAGAGAAAAAAAAAGAATAATGAATACCTATATCTCTACCATCAGAATTAACTATTGTGTAACAATGTATATATTTGTTTCTAGTCTTTCTTTTTTAAGAAATAAAATGAATTCCCTTTTACTGCTCTCTTCCTGGTTTCCATTCCCACCCCCTAAGGCAGTCTCCACTTTGAGTTTGGTTCATACTTTTTCCTTTATAATTCTCTGATAGATAGTTTCTAGTGTCCTTCTTTATTCAGCATGACACGCTCCCTGTGGGGAAGGCAGGGTGAGTGGAGGCCCTGCCTGACAGATAAGGACACGTAGCAGGTGGATTTTGTGGTTCTTCTGTGCCCCTTAAAGGTATACCCAAAACTAGGGTTGGGCTCAGAATGTCTGAGGAGGTCAAATAACTGAAAAGAACTCTTGCTCTGGTAACAACAGAAAAAACAGCCTAAGCTGCCTCAACCCCTCAGGTAGGCAGTGGGATGAGCTCCTGCTGCTTCAGATGCAGGGTCCTGAGTGAACCAAGAGAGAAGAGCTTGGGGGCCTGGGATGGGGTGTGGCAGCCTTCTGTTGGTTAGGAAGTGCTTTCCCTTTCCTGCCCTCCCTGCTCCCTGGGGAAGGACAGAGCTGAGCACAGAGCTCAGCCATCTGGGTGCAGGGAGTCAAGCCCAGGGTGGAGGTGGGGCCTCCCTAGATGGCCCAGTGCCAGCCTCCCCAGGCAGAGGCTTTGTCTTTTCCCCAGGCTGCAATTCCTGCTGTGTAGTCAGCCCTCAGCACTCTGCAGGTGTTAGAGGATGTCCACAGAGACCCTAGGAGTGAGGAGCCTGTGGGGCTCCTCCACCAGGAGGTGGGGCCTGGGAGCTGGGCCAGCATGGGTGCCACTCGCCACATGAATGTCTGTCCCCCCACATTCTTCTGTTGAAACCTCATTACCAAGGAGATGGCATTAAGAGGCAAAGCCTTTGGGAGGTGATCAGGTCGTGAGGGCAGAGTCCTCCTAGTTGGGATTAGTTCCCTTTTATAAAATAGGCTCCAGAAAGCTCCCTGTCCCCTTCCACCATGTGAGAACAGTGGCAGGACAGCCATCTACGAACCAGACAGTGAGCCCACATCAGACACCCGATATACCAGTTGATCTTGGACTTCCAGCCTCCAGAACTGTGAGCAATACATTTTTGTTGCTATAAGCACCTCCCCCACCCCTGTATTTATGGCATTTGTCTATAGCAGCCCAAAGGGACCAGGACGTGTGAGTGTGAGCTCTTAAAATGCAGCCAAGAACACATGTCTGAATCATATTTCAGATGTGTTGGAGTAAATAACATGTATTATTAAAATAACCTGTAACTTTTAACAAATATGGCCCTTTAATAAGGATTTTTGAAAAATAGGGAACAATAAGCAGAACACGGGATTTTTAGGGCAGTGTAACTATTCTGAATGATACTGTCATGGTGGATATACGATGTTATGTGTCCAGACCTGCCCAGACCCATGGAGTGTGCAGTGCCGAGTGTGGGCCCTCGTGTGAACTGTGGGCTTTGAGTGACTGTGATGCCATGTGGGATCCTCCATTGTCCATTCCCCAGATGGACCACTCTGCATTCCTGGGGCAGGGAGCTCATGAGAATTCTATACTTGCTGCTCAATTTTTGCTGTATACCTAAAACTGCTTTTAAAACAATAAGGTCTATTAAAAAGTTAATTTCACCTGTTACTTTTTTGGAGGGCAATTAGAAAATGAAAGTGTGGTTGGAGTTATGTATCTGTTGTACAGGGCTATCTTAAGTCTGTACCCATCGCTAACATGACCTTGCAACATGGTAGGCACAAATTAAAAGGCGTTTTGTTTGCAGCCAGGCTCTGAAGGCTGCTGGGGCATCTCAGTGGCACCCCAGGGAAGGGCTTGGGTGAGGGGGAGGATATTGGGTTTCTCCAACTTAGAGAGGGAGGGCTCTTATTTATGCTTATTGGCACTCTGTCTGAGATTAAGCCTGGATCCCTGGCTCCCAGGGCCACTGAATGAGATATATCACACTGATTCTCAAAGGTGGGAGTGGCAAATGATAAATCCTTTTCTAAAAATAGACTTTATTTTTTTTTAAAGCAGTTTTAGGTTCTCAGCAAAATTGAGTGGGAAGTACAGAGAGTTGCCATAGACTCCTGCCCTCCAACACACATGGCCTCCCCGACTCTCAGTATCCCAACCAGGTAGGTACACCCGTTCCCACCAATGAACCTGCATTGACACATCATTTGTCAGAGAATCCAGAGGGTCTCCTCTTGGTGTCACACATTCTGTGGGTTTGGGAAAATGTGCAGTGACATGTATCTACCATTAGGGTATCACACAGAATAGTGTCACTGCTCTAAAAATCCTCTGTGCTCACACTAAGAGAGTAACACTGGTACATGACTGTTTCTAAACTCTAGACTATATTGGTTTTGCCAGTTTTTCCACTAAAGTCTGCTCCCAGACTCAATCCAGGATCCCCTGTTGCATTTTTTTGTCATGTCTTCCTGGCCTCCTCTGGTCTGTGTAAATTGTCTAAGTTCTCTTGTTTCCACAGACTGGTGTCTCTGTGTGTGTGTGCACACGCGTGTGCACACCTGTGGGGGGGGGGGAGGAATTTTAACGCCCCTTGAAAAATATCTTAGGGCTCCACATGACACGGAATCTGTTTCTACCTGGGTTCCTTCTCTCAATTCTCATCTGTGTATGTACATACCTACTTTGTCTCCTTCTTCCCTTGGTCTCTGAAATGCTATTTTCTCAGAAGAAATCAATGAGGGCATCACACATGCATGTCCTCTGGGGCTGAGATTTCCTTCCCTAACTGATGGAGGAGGGTTATTTTCTGAGTACAGCAGCCCAGCACGCGCAGTTGGTGTTCAGCGATCAGTGTGCTCAGGTGTGTGGGGAAATGCCTCCTGTGCCTGCCTGGCTCTGGGAGGGACACTTGGGGAAGCCGCGAGACTTAGAGATGTCTGCGTGGGTGTGTCCCCCACCTCTGCTTTCTAACGCCAGGAGATTTTTACAAGTCTCCTGAATCCCCAGAACACTGATGTTCAGGTGAGTTTAAGCAAAGTTGGGGAGGACAAGGAGAGCCCAGAGCACCAACGCTGTGTCGGACACTGTGCTGGGTGCGCCGCCAAGAGATGAGGGCCATCAGACGCTCTGCTCTGCGGTCCCCTCCCTGGGGCTTTGGCCACACTGAAGCTCTGAGGGCAGCAGGCCCACTGCTTCCTGCTGCAGGGCCTTTTGCCCGCTGGTTCCCTGGCCTCACCCCCCAGTCCTGCATGTCCCCAAGCACCCATCCACAGGCTGTGGCAATGGCACGCACTCACTGGGTAGGCTCAGTGCAGGGTCTGCCATACTCTGTCACTAGACCCACTTCACCTCTGGTGTTGATGCTGCCCTGAGACCACCCACCTCTGGTGTCTGTCTCAGTCAGGCCGGCGCCCCAGCGGGAGCCACAGAGCTGGTGGCAGGGCCCAGCTGTGCCTCCCATCATAGCTCCAGAGAGTAAATTGGCTGTCTTGTTCAGCTGCAGGTTGTCCATACAGCTGGAGGTGGCCAGCGTTGAGCCGCTGGGCCCAGCCCAGCAGCAGTGCTCCCAAAAGGCTGCTCCCCAAGGCTGCTCACCCAGACTGCCACCTGATCAGCATCATCTTCCCAGAGGATGTCAGTAAGCACTGGGGTGCCGCATGTGCTCTTGGTGGGGACCAGAGATAGGGAAATCCCCTGCTGAGACTGCCAGCCCCAGAGGCTGCTAGAGCCCAGGTTCCACATGACTGATACTTTGCTAAATTTCCTTTAGTTCTTACAGTTCTTTTGTGGAATCTTAAGTGTTTTCTACATACGGGATCATGTCGTCTGCACACTGGTAACTTTACATCTTCCTTTTCAATGGAGTGTCTTTTCTTTCTTTCTCTTGCCTAATTGCTCTTTCAGTTGTTGGCATCACCACATTATGTGTGTCTGAACTGGGTGTGCAAAAACATCAACTAATCACAGGCTTTTTTGATGCATTAGTCTATTAAATTATGTACAAAACAAAAACAGTAGTAGCTTTTATAACTGTCAGTGTATTTACCTTTGCCAGAGGTCTTTATTTCTTCATAATGCTTTGAGTTCCTGTCTACTATCCTTTCTTTTCAAGCGGAAGGATGCCATTGCAGGCAGGGCTGGTGGTACTCAGCTTTTGGTTATCTGGCAGTGTCTTAGTTTCTCCATCATTTCTGAAGCACAGTTTGTAGGATTTTGGCTCTTGGTTGACAGGCTTTTTATTTTTTCTTCTAAGACTTTGAATATTTCAACCCACTGACTACTGGCCTCTAAAGTTTTTGATGACAAATCTGATGACGATCATGTGGGGAAATTATGATGACATTTATCTCTCTGGCAGCTCTACAGATGTTAATAATGGACTTTATCGTGTATCACACACCACAGAACCCATTTTTGCATTATGATGATGTCAGCTATGTTTTAGCATCACCCTGACACCAATCAGAATTTAAAGAAAAGAAATTGAATATTTCAAGGATACACATGATGAGGTTTTTAAAAGCTTAAAGTTATTACAGCTTTTCAAACTATAAATGGAAAGGTCCCTGAAGCATTGTACAAGTTTAAATTTCTAATATGCTAAATATCAATGTCTATAACCATGTAAACAAATAACACTTGTTTTCTTTAACCACTTCGGTACCAGCGTCGACTATAGTCAACAGCCACAGATGAACGTGCACATCGACTTTAGCTGACAGCCGTGACATGAAGGTACATAGCCAAGCCTCGACTTTAGCCAACAGCCGTGATAATGACTTTTCTAATTTTTCATTTATCAAAATAAAATTGTGAACATTTAAAAATAACATAATGAAAACATATATGTATATGTTACCTATTCTGATTTACATTACAAGTAGACCTGCCTGTAAAGTAAAACAAGCTTTCAGTGCGTTAAAACTTTCCTCATCACACAAGAGCAAAAACGGATTCGTCATCAATGCACAGCACAAACTATTGTGCGGACTGTGAGTGGCAGCTGTGGGCAAGGTTTCGCGGCTCCTGAGCGTGGTACCTAAGTCTCTAAAGAGGAAAGTGTTCCTGTGACTGAAAAATGAAAACAACACTGTAGGTTTTACCCAGCCATGATTGGCCCATTTCTTGCTCCGACCTCATAAAGAGCCATTGTTACAAAATTCCCTGCACCTATATAAGCCCCAGGCTGGGCCTAGAATTTCGGTCCTTGTTGCCCAGGAAGCTGTTTTTTGGTGACCTGTGGAGCCTGACCGTAGCACTACTGCTTTTCCCTTGTTAGTGAGTATTGCCAGTGTAGTTAGTATGGTTAGCATTGTTGGTTGGTTGTGTTAGTGTAGGATAGTTAGTAGTTTGTTAGTTTTGTTGCCATACTATAGTTAGTATTATTTGTTAGTTTTGTTACCATATTATAGCAGCATTAGTGTAGTGTAGTTAATATTGTTAGCAGCATTAGTGTAGTGTAGTTAATATTGTTTTTTATTAGGATAGTATACTTAGTATTATTCTTTTGTAGTGTTAGTATAATTAGTATTGTTAGCCTATTTAGCACTATTTATTAATATTGTTAGTGTAGTTCATATAGTTATTGTAGTTTGTACTGTTAGTATCCTTAGCCTAGTTAGTATAGTTGGGAGTGTTCACTAGTTAGTAAGCACAGTTAGTGTAGACTGAGCCTAGAGGGGACCATGGCTCACGCCTTGGACTCCAGTCCACCCATGGAGAAGTTGAACGATTATAAGCTCCTCAGGGAAATTGGCTCTGGCAGGTATGGCAAGGTGATGCTGGCCATGCACATTCCCACTGAGACCAAGGTGGCTCTCAAAATGATGTCCAAGAAGATCCACCCCAGGCTGGAATGTCTCCACATGGAGGTCAAAGCCTTGAGGGCCCTGAATCACCCCAATATCCTCAAGTTTCTGAATGTCATCGAGGATGAAGACACCATCTGCTTGGTAACGGAGTACGCCAGTGGCAGGGACCTTTCCAGGCATATAAGTAAACTCCAGCGCTTGAGTGAGGAGGAGGCCCATCCCATATTCCGCCAGCTCCTGGACGCGGTGCAGCACTGCCACGAGAACAACATCGTCCACCGCGACCTGAAGCCCGACAACATTCTACTGGACAAACATGGGAATGTTAAACTAGCTGACTTTGGCATCTGCACGACTTTTAGTGAGGAGGGATACCAGGACACATTCTGCGGAACTCCTGCTTTTAGTGCCCCAGAAATATTCCTGCATAAGGAATATGTGGGACCGGAAGTGGACATCAGGAGTCTGGGTGCTGTCCTCTACAATATGTTAACCGGACATACTCCATTTATTGGTGCCACCTGGAAGGAACTGAAAAACGACGTCACCGAGGGAAAGTATGAGACACCTGATTATTTTTCTCAAGAACTGAGAGCAGTTTTGAGGAAGTTCTTCACCGTTGATGGTGAGTTGAGGCCCACTCTCCCTGAACTTATGAAGGATTCTTGGATCCAGCAACAGGAGAGACCGAAGGTGACCAGGAAAGGCACAGTGCCTTCGAGTCCTCAAGGCAGTGGGCAGAGGAGTCCTGGTGTTATATCATAGCCCTCCCATGTGGCCCAGGGGGAAAGAAGCTCGCTAGGAGACTCGGCAGGTTCCTCCTGAGAATCTGCTGCATCCTGCCAGCCGGACAGATCTGCTGCATGCGGCTGAACAGGGTGGTGCCAGTGACTGAGGACAGCTGAAGCAGCAAGGGCAAGTATGTGGGGCAGTCCAGCCACCCTTCCTGCATTTTATGTTATTTAATACAGTCTTGCTGATATTATTTTTAATAGACAAGTCATAGATGTACACATGTATGCAGTACAATGTGAAATTTATGTATATGTGCACTATGTGGAATGGTCACATAATGCTAGTTAATGTATCCGTCACCTCAGAAAGGCAGACAAGCGTGATGTCACTTGTTGAATCTGCACAGCTGACCTCATGGAGGTAGAGCAGCTGGATGGTGATGAGAGGCTGGGGGTGGCAGAGGGAGGGCACCAGTAGTTGGTCTCACTAGACCTTGACAACCATTTGCTTGGTCTCGTTTCTTTCTCTCGCCCATCTCTTTCAGGCACGGTCCCCCTCGCCCCCGCGAGTAACAGAAGGTCCCGCAGGTCAGGACACTTTCGGTTGTTGGCATCACCACATTATGTGTGTCTGCATTGGATGTGCAAGAACATCAACTAATCATAGGCTTTTTTGATACATTAGACTATCAAATCATGTACAAAACAAAAACAGTACTAGCTTTTATAACTGTCCGTGTATTTACCTTTACCAGAGGTCTTTATTTCTTCATAATGCTTTGAGTTCCTGTCTAGTATCCTTTCCTTTCAAGGGGAAGGACGCCATTGCACACAGGGCTGGTGGTACTCAGCTTTTGGTTATCTGGCAGTATCTTAATTTCTCCATCATTTCTGAAGCATAGTTCATGGGATTTTGGCTCTTGGTTGACAGGCTTTTTTTTTTTTCCTTCTAGGACTTTGAATATTTCAACCCACTGACTACTGGCCTCTAAAGTTTTTGGTGGCAAATCTGATGATGATCATGTGGGGAAGTTATGATGACATTTATCTCTCTGGCAGCTCTACAGATGTTAACAATGGACTTTATTGTGTATCACACACCACAGAACCCATGTTTATATTATGATGATGTCAGTTATGTTGTAGCATCACCCTGAGACCAATCAGAATTTAAAGAAAAGAAACTGAATATGTCAAGGATACACATGATGAGGTCTTTAAACCCCTAAAGTTAATTACAGATTTTCAAACTATAAATGGAAAGGCCCCTGAAGCATTGTACAGGTTTAAATTTCTAATATGCTAAATATCAATGTCTATAGCCATGTAAACAGAAAACACTTGTTTTCTTTAAAGAGAAAAGTGTTCCTGCAACCGAAAAATGAAGATAACCACTGTAGGCTTTACCCAGTCATGATTGGCCTATTTCTTGCTCTGACCTCATAAAGAGCCATTGTTACCAAATTCCTAAGACCTATATAAGCCCCTGGCTGGGCCTAGGATTTCGGTCCTTATTACCCAGGAAGCTGTTTTTTGGTGACCTGTGGAGCCTGACCGTAGCACTACTGCTTTTCCCTTGTTAGTGAGTATTGTCAGTGTAGTTAGTATAGTTAGCATTGTTGGTTAGTTGTGTTAGTGTAGTATAGTTAGTAGTTTGTTAGTTTTGTTGCCATACTATAGTTAGTATTGTTTGTTAGTTTTGTTACCATACTATAGTTATTATTGTTTGTTAGCAGCATTAGCGTAGCGTAGTTAATATTGTTTTTTATTAGGATAGTATACTTAGTATTATTCTTTTGTAGTGTTAGTATTAGTATTGTTAGTCTATTTAGCACTATTTATTAATATAGTGTAGTTCATATAGTTATTGTAGTTTGTACTGTTAGTATCCTTAGCCTAGTTAGTATAGTTGGGAGTGTTCACTAGTTAGTAAGCACAGTTAGCATAGAGGGGACCATGGCTCAGGCCTTGGACACCCGTTCAGCCATGGAGAAGTTGAACGATTATAAGCTCCTCAAGGGAATTGGCTCCGGCAAGCACGGCCATGTGATGCTGGCCGTGCACATTCCCACTGGGAGAAAGGTGGCTCTCAAAATGATGTCCAAGAAGACCCACCCCAGGCTGGAATGTTACCACATGGAGGTCAAAGCCTTGAGTGTCCTCAATCACCCCAATATCCTCAAGCTTCTGAATGTCATCGAGGACGAAGACACCATCTGCTTGGTAACGGAGTACGCCAGTGGTGGGGACCTTTCCAGGCATATTAGTAGACTCCAGCGCTTGAGCGAGGAGGAGGCCCGTCCCATATTCCGCCAGCTCCTGGCCGCAGTGCAACACTGCCACGAGAACCACATCGTCCACCGCGACCTAAAGCCCAGCAACATTCTACTAGACAAGCACGGGAACATTAAACTAGCTGACTTCGGCCTCGCTGGAACTTTTAGTGAGGAGGACTACCTGAGCAAATTCTGTGGAACTCCTGCTTTTAGTGCCCCAGAAATATTCCTGCATGAGAAATATGTGGGCCCGGAGGTGGACGTGTGGAGCTTGGGTATTGTCCTCTACACTATGATCCTGGGGAAGACTCCATTTATTGGTTCCAGGTGGAAGGATCTGAAAAAGGACGTCACTGAGGGAAAGTATGAGATACCTGATTACTTTTCTCAAGGTCTCAGAGCACTTTTGAGGAAGTTCCTCACCGTTGATGCTAAGTTGAGGCCCACCCTCCATGAACTTATGAAGGATGATTGGATCCAGCAACAGAAGACACCAGAGGCTATCAGGAAAGGCACAGTGACTGTGAATCTTCTAAGCAGCATATGGAACACTCCCAGTGTTCTCGTAGTTTCCCAGCATGGCCCCTTGACCTCTCAGTCCAGCCAAAGCACCATCCTTTGGGAAGAGCAAGTAGGAGACAGCACTGTCCAGTTTGAGCAGCCATATGGGAAGACCTCAACTTCTCTCTCAGAAAAGGGCCAGCGCCGGAAGGGGTTCACTAGAAGACTCGGCAGGTTCTTCCTGAGAATCTGCTGCATCCTGCCAGCCAGACAGATCTGCTGCATGCGGCTGAACAGGGTGGTGCCAGTGACTGAGGACAGCTGAAGCAGCAAGGGCAAGTATGTGGGGCGGTCCAGCCACCCTTCCTGCATTTTATGTTATTTAATACGGTCTTGCTGACATTATTTTTAGTAAACAAGTCATAAATGTACACATGTATGTGGTACAATGTGAAATTTATGTATATGTGCACTATGTGGAATGGTCACATAAGGCTGATTAATGTATCCGTCACCTCAGAAAGGCAGACAAGCGTGATGTCACTTGTTGAATCTGCACAGCTGACCTCATGGAGGTAGAGCAGCTGGATGGTGATAAGAGGCTGGGGGTGGCAGAGGGAGGGCACCAGTAGTTGGTCACAGGGCACAGAGTTTCAGACAGACGGGAGGAAGAAACCCTGACATGTGTTGCACAGCAGGGTGCAAGAGTCAGTGAGAATGTCCTGCACATTTCAGAATATCTGAGAGTCCCCTTCACTTGTCTCCTTGCCTTTAGAATGGAGAGCAAGAAGACCGTGAGCTCCCCAGATCCAAACAACACGGAGTGGGAAGTCGGCCAGGCGGGAACTCACAGCTCTGGGTGGGAGCCGGCCAGAAGCAGCCTGCGGCCTTCACAGGCATCCAAGCCACAGTAGACTGAGCTGCAGCACGGCCTGGAGCCCTGGAGACAAGGGGGCCCCTCAGCCCCCACCGGGTACCCTTTGTTCCCCAGTATGGATTTTCTTTATGCTTAACAACCCAGTGAGCAGTCACCCAGTGCTGCTGTCCCTGAAATCCATCCCTGGCTCTCACCCCTTCAGCAATGCCTGTTTTTGTTTTTTGTTTGTTTGTTTGTTTTGTTTTTTATGTCATCACACATTACTATCCAAATATGGGAGCTTCAAATACATTTGAAGTATTTTGTGAAGTAACTTCATGTCTAGGGACCCATAGTTCCAATTCTCTGGAAGCTTTTGTCCTTTTGAGCTCTTCTGAACTTGCAAGCTCCTCATTAGGTTGGCTTACCTATGTTCCTGGCTCATTTCTACCTCAAGGTCTCCTTAAGGAGGTAGAATGTTCCAGATTGGTATTCTATTGCCTTTCAGTTCTTTCTTGAGAACAGATGGATGTTGAAGGATCAGTCAAACCTGTCTTGTCTTGTTAGTTGACTTTCTGCAGTTTTCAGAGCAGAAGACACAAGGTGGAAACTGAATTGCACTGTCCTGGATTCTGAAGTTTCTAGTTATGAATCCTTGTGCCAACCAGGAGAAAAAGGTGAGTGGGAAACTGACTATATTTTAGTCTATTGCTTTCTTTGATATTGCTTCAATTCACTGAACACTTTTGAGGGGTATATTCTATTTGATTCAGTGAGAAGTAGTGTGAGCATTCCCTTTAGTCTAAGGCAATAACAAATTAGTTCATAATGTCATCCCTGTGAAATCTTGCATCATTGCTATGGATTTTTCTGATTACAAAAAAAGGCAGAGGGAAGATTTGGAGGAGGAAAACTTAAATTTTGTAAACAATAACTTTTTCTATTGTTGTGGCTCTGGTTTTAAGTTAGTGGTTGTATACATGAAGAAAAGTGTATGCAAAATATTGACATAGAACTTGACAATAAGAGCTTCCTTGGGTAAGATAAGAAAGAACTACAATGGATGATGAGATTTACTTATATTTCCTGTTAAAAAATCTATTGTGATAGAAAATTGTAACATTTTTTCAAGAGTAATAGTGTTGTACTTAAAATTGTGAAACCTACCAAATGGGATTATCAAAAAGGCAAAATGAGAATTTCCTCAAGGCTTAGTCTGATTGATTAGTCCAGTTGATTTTGATGCCAGTGCACATTGATTTATACTGTTTGTATTTTGTTTTTAAAGCAACTGAAATGAATAAAATATGGACTTTGGATATTGGGCTCTATATATTCTTAGATTAAGCAGGTCTAAGTCTTTAAAAACTGAAAATATGTGAAAACAAAACAGGTGCCATGGTATCCAAATATTTATCTAGCTCATTTTTCCTACAGATGCATGATTGATTTGGAATAGGTGAGTTCTGGTTTTATCCATCATTCATCACAGTACATATAAAATATAGTGAGAACAGTTATAATAGCAAAAAATTAATAGCTATCTAAATTTGTCCCTGAAGTCAGAATTGAACTATTGTCTTGGTTCCCAACATCTGCTCTTATCCATGTGTTTATAGGAAAATTGGAAATATTTTACTCCTAACCAACTTGATTTTCACCCTAGGAGGTTATCTTTTGTATTTTAAATCTTCCCCTGACAGACCCTTTACTTCCTTGAAATCAGACTGGTTCTCAGTTCTCCTACTTATGAATATGAGCAGGTGGCTTAGTCTCCCATTTCTGAAACAGAGGAAGTAATAGCTGCCCTACTTGAGTAAGATAATGCTTGGGAAATCACTGTGGAAACTTACAGAAGTGGTAGGGATTCTTTTAAATGGTAGTATTTGAAAATAAAGGGGGAGAGAAGAAATTACACTGGACTACGTACTAAATGCTTTAGCTTTGCCAGGCACTTAACATATTTATCTTAGCTCCTTTAATCCTCTGACATAGGCACTGGTAGTCTTCATTCCATAAATGAGAAAACTGATTCAAAGATGTAACCTCTGACATGTGTGATGATCAACTCTAGTAAATCGTGGCACCTGGGTTTGATTTCAACTTTAATTCCAAAGCTTATACCGTTTCCCTACCATGTGCTGCCCAATATTTTATAAAATATTTGATAAAAGGTAGATTTCTATTATGTCCAGTGATCTGAAATACAGCTTGAAAGTTAGGTTTTGAGAAACCTTTAAAGTGGCCCTTCAAAGGTTATGAAGGAATAGCAAATGTGTGCCTTCCATGACTGATACCCACAGACTTCTGCCCCCCAAATCAACCACACGGCTATGCCTTTGGGGATTCTATCACATCCAGAAGTTCCCTTATTTGTTCGATGAGAGGGCTAGATGAAATGATTTCTGAAGTTTTATTGAGCTCTAGCATTCTGATGGTTAAGAAGGAAATAAAACACACATGTAAATTCCTTCCTTCCTTCCTTCCTTCCTTCCTTCCTTCCTTCCTTCCTTCCTTCCTTCCTAGTCTGAAGTGAACACCTCTTGAACACCAGGCACTAAGCACTGTCATCAAGCTCAAGAAATATATTTGCTAGATGAATTTTCTTTATTCATTTTTCTAATGTGGAATACATACAAGAGCCTGGAGTACCAGAACTTCTCAGAAGAAGAGATAATTACATTTCTCATTTAACTTTCCTGCCAACCCTCATGAACTTGCTTTTAAACATATTAAAAGATTAAGTTTACAGGTGTGAATCTAAACTTTAAAAGAAATGAACAAGGACAATCAAGGAAGAACGAGTACTTTTAATAAAATATGATTTTTGTGAATATTAGCATGATCGTGCTGGTAATCTGAAATTTCAGATCTCACAAATGCAGAATTCCTACTGTCACTCCCTTTTCTCCAGCTATATAAGCCATAAACACTTAGAACTAGTTATGTCTCTATTACACGTGGGTTTGTAGTATAGAACCAAATTCTATTCTGGCAAAGGAAAACCAAATATACACTTCTGTGGTATTGCATTCCTTGATACAGTAAAACAAAGCAAACACTCTGAATGTTTTGTTTGTTTTTTGGAGAAATAATATACTGAAGAGTGTGAAACAGGAAAACAATGTGAAATCCAGTGTTTTCCAATATGTACAAATCCTGTAACTGTGCTGGTTTCCAAACTAAACTCCTAACCTGTTTTGCAGTCTTTGTGGAGTTTGATTAGAATGATTAAATAATGTGGGTTTTAAAGAACACTGAAAACTTCCCAGATGGATGCCACACAGCACAGCTAATATGTTTCTTCCAGGTGTAGTTTCAGAAGAGGGTTTTGGTTTACAAGTAACACTGACCTGAACGACCAAGGAGAAAGTTTGGTTTTAACAAGACCAAGTGATAATCATGATATTTTGCCCTTTGGTTAATGATGTGAATCTTATTACTCAATAGGCTTTTTGTAAGTGAGATGCTCATTTAAAACTCATCTCATTTGCAGGGCTTTCCCTCTCTTTGAGAGGTTTGCTTTCTCTGACTTTGAAATGCAGTGAAACGCCTTTAGGAGAAAAAGCCCTCTCTTCAGTAGATTTTAGATATACATGGACCATATCATGCCCCTGAATCCCACCCCTGTACAGAAAAAGCCTGGGGTAGCACCATTAGCCTTCCAGGTCAATAGCCTCCTTCCCTCAGTCCCACCTACCACCCCATTCCCATTACCAAGGATTTCTGTCTTTCTTGTTTGTGTGATTTAGTACTGGGTAAACTGTGTGATCTTACAATTGCTTCCAAAGATTCAATCAGATGCTGCTCCTGGACTAGAGAATTCTGCACTCTTATAAGTCACTGTGCACCATCCAAAGGGTTTCTTCAAAGCTTCATTCATTCAGATGATGAATGTCATGGAATATTTGCATTTTCTGAACTTTCTGTTAGCAGGAGCTAACTTGAAAACCTTTCCCTTTAAGGGTTTCATCTTGTCAGGAATGAAGGAATATCTCTGGCAGGCACTTCCAAGTACCTGGATGACTCCTCTAGGGGGTGTTATTTTCCAGATGAAACCAGAGTAAGGAAAGCCATCAAGCTAAAATGACAGAGCAGGAATTTGAAGAAATTTGGAATTGAAAGAATTTGAGAAACTCTAATGACTTCCTTTTTCATGTTGCAGAAAGCAGAAGCCACTGGAGAGCAATGGCCAAGAGGCAAACCTAAATGGGTGAGGAATAAGACATCACTTATATGTGTTCTTTTTTTTGTAAAGAAAAATTCTATTTTTTTAATGGGAAAAGTTGTATTCATTAATTACATGAATTTCTATCTTCTGTCTTGATGAATCTTTGAAAGGGTTAATGTAAGTGACAAAGTCTCACCACTGCTTACCATTAGGCTCCAGGTGTTCACTCATAACACTTTCCTCTCCTGAACTAACTCCTTTTTCTTTCTCTTATCAACACCAAAAGAGTCTCCACTCTTCCTTTTGCTGGGGGAACAATGAGATGACTTGTTCAGTAGGTTGAATAACTAAAGTTAATAGGTATTAGGAAGCCTTGGAAATTGATTACAAATGGTGATAAAATTCAGCTGAAATGTGTATGAGACAACTTTATAATGTTTTGTTTCTTCCCCTCCCCATGGCCTTGTTTTGGACACATCTCATTCTCTAGGTGGCTTCTGTTTTCTTTCTTGCATTGACTTTTTTGGTAAGCAAGGGTTTAATATTTAATATGCAGTTTCTCTTGGTTCCTTTAGTAATCCTTTAGTAATCACTGTCTATGTAGTGACATTGGAGACATTCAGGAAGGTGAGCTTGGACCCGTAGTTGCTCAGATTCTGTATCTTTTGAGATCAGAAATTCAGTGATTGCTGTACCATTTCACTAATTTTACCACTTGTACCTTGTTCTCTTGTTGCTAAATGACTCACATTCTTCTGGTCAGTCTTTCCCACTGACAGAGGAGAAAAGTTTTAGAAATGAGTAAAACCATTTCAGAAGAAGTGTAAAGCCATGCCCACTGTTGTCTGTGATGTGTTCTTTTTCTTTTCCCTTAAGAGTTTATACCTCATCCTTCATTGTTTCTAAAGTTTCTTTCCTGCTATGCTTGTTTATATTTTCCTGTTAGTTTTCTATTCCTTTCTCCTCTAGAGTTCTGTGTCACTTTCTATTTATGCTTTGGTATTACCTTTGTTTAATTTGTTCATCTTGTAGTTTTCCTCTGCTTGACATGTATTGGGGTTACACTTCTCAGCACAAGGAAATGGGATGATCTTTAGATTAAAAACATCTCCGTGTTACAGATAACCTTAAAATAAGGCTGTTTTACTCAACCTTCTGTTCAGTAAACGAATTCTCTACAAACGTACTCACCAGGTAATGATCGTCTAGCCTTAACCCACTAGCTATTAATACTGCATCTTCCTTCATGGGAAGCTCTGAACATTAGAAAACTCTTCAGTCTGTCTGTAAGTTCCACATGCTGTCTCTAGGCCTCCCTCTGCAAATATACAGAATAATTCCTTCCACTTTCACTTATGATGGTCCTTCAAATATTTGAGGATGCTTAACACATACTCTTTGTTGTTTTTTCTGGTTAACAGAAAAGAAGCCAAAATCTGTAAAATAATTTAAAGAGGTTCATTTTGAATCCCATTTGAGGACTATGACCTGGAGCCACACCCAAGAAGCCCTGAGCAAGTGAACTCACTGTGGTTGGGTTATGCTTTGGTTTTATACATTTCAGGGAGACAGGGAGTGTGAACTAAAATAAAATCTTAAGGCTAACCACCCCTAGGCTGACTGAATGGACCCCCTCTTGGCCAAGGGGATATCCTAAAACTAAATTGCCTGCCACAAGTAGGGAGGTCAGATTTGCCTCATAATGGCCTCCCTTTTTGGAGACATCCTTTGCAACATATTAACAAGGTTTTGCAAAACAAACCTGGAGGACCTCCATTTACACAACAAATATATGCCCATTGGCTTGTCTCTGATTTTACAGGCTTACTTATCTTAACATTCCAAGCCTTTAGACAAAAGCTTCATGTCTTTAACAACTCAAAGAATCTTTAAACCCACCTATCACTTGCAAATGTCCCCCCCCACTTTGAAAAGTCCCACCTTTTGGGGCCAAAACCAATGTTTGCCTTCCATGTATTGATTTATGACTTTACCTGTAACCCGTTTCCCCCTGAAATGTAGAAAACTGAACTGTAACACAGCCACAGCATGTCCACTTGCTCAAGGCTTCTTGGGCATGGCTCTCACGGTCCTCAAATTTGGCTGAGAATGAATCTCTTTAAAATTATTTTATAGAGTTTGGCTTCTTTCCCATTAACAGGGGTTACAGGTGAAGTCATAAATCAATACATGGAAAGCATACATTGGTTTTGCTCAGAAAGGTGGGCCAACTCA